ACATATACACACAAGAATAGTATGTCATCAAATGTTCGCCCATTCAGTTAACTTTAGCAGCCAGTATTTGTTCTGAATGTTGTGTTCATTTGTCATTACAAATTGAAGGTCTTGCTCTAGACCTCAGCATGTGTCCGTACCCACTGGCAGCAATGGTCTTAATTCTAATTGCTCTTAAATTAAACCACACTTCTCTGGATATCATACTGTTGAAAATATTTTGAAGAAACAGAATTTTGATGATTGTATACTGACAGTCTCACATGTAACAGGATATCTAATTGGTCTTATAATATAAAACCCAGACCCAGATATTGGGGTAAATGCTGAAAGATCAGAGAGACAAAGGAACAAGCCACTATCACTTCTTACCTCTAGGACTCCTCAGCCTGAAAAGCCTCTAGCTGAAAGACTTTAGTTCCTGTCTCCTCACACCTTATATACCTTTCTCCGCCCACCATATCACTTCCTTCTTAGTGCTGGGTTAAAGGCGTGTGTGCTTCCCAAGCAAAGGCATGAGATCTCAAGTGCTGGGATTAAAGATGTGTGACTCCCAAGTATTGGGATTAAAGGTGTGTGCCACCATTTCCTGGCTCAGTTTCTCTCCTAGACTGAGTCAATCTCATGTAGTCCATAGTGGCTTTGAACTCACAGAGATCTAGACGGATCTCTGCCTCCTGAGTGCTAGGATTAAAGGTATGTGCCACCACTGCCTGGCATCTATGTAGCTAGAGTTTTCCTGCCTGGCCCACAGTCAGGACAGATCTCTCTCACCCGCCAGTCCCACAGCCGCTCAGACCTAATCAAGTAAACACAGAGACTTATATTGCTTACAAACTGTATGGCCATACCAGGCTTCTTGCTAACTGTTCTTACAGCTTAAATTAATCCATTTCTATAAATCTATACCTTGCCACGTGACTCATGACTTACAGGCATCTTCACATGCTGTTTGTCATGGCGGCGGCTGGCAGTGTCTCTGACTCAGCCTTCCACTTCCCAGAATTCTTCTCTTCCTTGTCCCGCCTATACCTCCTCCTGCCTGACTACTGGCCAATCAGTGTTTTATTTACTAACCAATCAGAGCAACACATTTGCCATACAGAACATCCCACAGCACATCTATATTTAATCTAGTGGCTTGTTCTGTTCTCTGATCTTCAGGCAAATTTTATTAGGGTACACAATATATCACCACACTCACAAACCTTTTTCTGCACAAAATAACAGAATAGACACAACACTGATACACAAGATCTAGGTAGAGCCTCTGAAGATCTGCCCTATTTCAGAATGTTAAGAATACTTTCTGGTGCTGCTGACTCATATTTACAAATTTAGCATTAAAGCAAAGAAATGTTTGTTCAGACTAGATTATCACTTTGCTAAATCAAGAGAGGTTTATAAACTTTGGATTGCTTTACAAGTGGACATGATTGTTTATTATTAAACCTAAAGGACTGTGCCAAATTCTGCATTGTTTATAATCTTTTGAGAACCCCCACTGTTTGGCTTTGTCACTCATTGCCTTTCATGAGGACAAATATGTGCTCAGCACTGTTAGGAACCATTTATATATGTTGCATTCTATTATTTCCTTAAGTCCACACAGTCTTACAAAGGATGGGGGTTGTGATTTCTGTTTATTATTGAAATTCTAGAAGATTAAGTAACTGTTCTGAGGTCATAGAGTAGGAAGCCATCACTGTTTACTGTTGTGTTTTTTATGTTCATTGGCCTCATTTCCTTCAGTGCTGCCCCTTCCTTGACTGTGGCTTTATATGGGATCACTGCCCAAACATTAGGAATTGTAGGGTAATTTTAAAAAGAAAGAACATTTGAATTATACTTTGTGTTCACAGTAAATTTAAAAAAAAAAACTGTAGTTAAGTCTGCGGAGATAGCGCAGTGGTAGAGAACCTGCCTGCCATCCACCAGTACTGGATGAGACTTCTAGTACCTCCCCCCAAACCTAGCTACTCAATAACTGTGTCTGTCTTTCATATTTTATGTAGCGTCTAATACATTGCCATGCTCATGTTAATTGAGAATCCTATAAACCTTCGTGAAATCCTTTTTTCTTTTTTTAAATTTATTTTGGTTTTTCAAGGCAGACTTTCTCAGTGTAGTCCTGGCAATAGTGGAACTCGCTCTGTAGAGCAGGCTGGCCTTGAACTCAGAGATGTGCCTGACTGCCTCCTGAGTGCTAGAATAAAAGGCATGAGCCACCAATGCCAGGAACCTTTTTAAATTTTTTCTGCTAGTAATCTCAGAATTGAATTTAGTCTTCATTGGTAAAAATAAACTCCTTAGAAGCTGGGCAGATAGGGTTGGTGAGATGGCCCAGCAGTAGGAGCACTTGCTGCTCTTAGAGGGGACATGTGCTAGATTCCTAATATCCACATGGCAGCTCACAGCCATCTCTAACTCCAGTCCCAGTGGATCTGAAGCCCTCTTCTAACCTCCATAGCACCAACCATGTACATGGTGCACAGACATACATGTAGGCAAACACTCATACACATTAAAAATAAATCTTTAAAAAACTGCACATGATAGCATACTACCGTAATCCCAACACTTGGGTGATGGAGGCAGGAGGATACTGAGATCAAGGTCAACCTTGACTATGTAGTGAGAGTTCAAGGCCAGCCTAGTCTACATTGAAACCCTATCTCAAAAACATTTAAAAGAAGTAAAAGAAACTCTTATGTGAATGATGGTACACCTCCCTTGACCTTTTCCTCAATCCTAAGTAATATCAAGCACTCTGCTGCCTCACCATGCCTCTTTTCACTGTCCCTTCTAATGTTCCATGAAGCATACTACAACAGGTACTTTTTGGGAAAAGGAAAGATATAAACTATAAATTAACATTTAATTAACTATAGAGACTGTTTGGTTATGATGAAATTAGCGACCTTGGCTTTTGCCTATTAGAAGATACCAAAGCAAGTTAAGTTTATATGTTAGGGAAGACAGCCTGCTATATCAGGGAAGTGGCAAACCAACCAGCCAGAAGTCTTCTGAAATGCTTGTTAAATACTGTTAGTAATTCTACCTGGGCAAAGTCAAACTAGAAAAGAAATTTAAAATATCCCATATCCCAAATACATTTCAATATGTATATTTTCTTTTTTTTTTTTTTTTTTTTTTTTTTGGTTTTTTTCGAGACAGGGTTTCTCTGTGTAGCTTTGCACCTTTCCTGGAACTCGCTTTGGAGACCAGGCTGGCCTCGAACTCACAGAGATCCGCCTGCCTCTGCCTCCCAAGTGCTGGGATTAAAGGCGTGCGCCACCACCGCCCGGCTATATTTTCTTTTTAAAGAGTCTCTTGAAGCCCAGGCTGGCCTCCATAGCAGAGGATGGCCTGTAGCTGCTGATCCTGCTACTTCCAAGTGCTGGAATGACAAGCTTGTACCACTACACCTGGTTTTCTTCAGTACTGGGTCTTGAACCCAGTGCCTCGCGCATGGTAGATAGTCAAGAACTCTTCCCACTGGGCTACATCCCTATCCCTAATTGTATATATTTTGGAAGGCAGCTATGGTCACCACTATACCACCAATGCAGACATTAGATATATATTTTTAAAGAAATTATCATTTCTTCCATTTGGAGGAGGGGTAGAAATTCACACAAAGACCAAGGTCAGTTTTCAAAAAAGAACCTAACTAGGAAAGTTCCAACAGACTAAGAATATACCTTAACCCCCATTGGCTGTTCCAAAAAGCCATCTTTACATTGTTCCTGGGTTTGCTCCATGCTCACTGCAACCATCTTCTCTGCCTGCCAGACTCAGCTGGCCACTGCCACAACTTTCTTGCCAGAGCCTCTCCCGCTACATCGGATCACCAATGTGCCCCACTGTGTTAGATGTGGGTGTGGACACCAGCTGAGTCCACAACCAAAGACTTGAAGGAGATGAGGGAAGTTGTGGAGGAAGCAGAGAACGGAAGAGATGCACCTGCCAATGGGAATGCTAGTGAGGAAAATGGGTAGCTGGAGGCTGACAAGGTAGATGAAGAAGAGGAAGAAGGTGGGTAGGAGGAAAAGGAAGAAGAGACAGAGGATGGAGATGAGGACGGCAAAAAGGAAAAGCTAAACTTAAGGCTACCTATCAGAGTCTAAATGTGGTCACCTTCTAGTAGAGGAGTGGGCTCTCCTGCCTATTGGGTAGTGCCACTCACAGATGACATGTACCACCCCCCAAAACCACAACATGAATTTGCCACAGGGGAGGGGCAAAAAAGAATGAAAGCTTCCAAGGCTTTTTTTTTTCCCTAAAAATACTTCAAAAGGAAAATTTTGTGGCTCACACCTTTGATCCCAGTCCTTGGGAGGCAGAGGCAGGGAGATCTCTGAGTTCCAGGCCAGCCTGGTCTACAGAGTGAGTTCCAGGACAGCCAAGGTGATACAGTGAAACCTTGTCTCAACAAACAAAAACAACAAAAAGTCTTATTCTAAGCATTCCAGTAACTTTTTGTGTGTATGTACCTAGCTGTACTATAAGTAGTTGGTTTGTATGAAATGGTTTTAAAATGCCAAAGATAAAAAGTTTTTTTTTTTCTATGAAGTTACTGTTGGCCTGTTTGATATATGTGTGAAACATCTTCAACAATAAATCGGAATTTTATTTTATTCTAACAACAAAAACAATACACTTTAAGATCTTGATCAGCTGATATTGTTCTAACTGATATTGCTCTTTGATTATCTTGAAATACTTGCCAACTGATAGATGAAAAAATTTAGTGTGGGATTTTTAAAACATAAATCTATGGGAACAATTATTGGCAAACAATATGTTAATTTTTAATATGGAAAACATCCCCTAGAAACATGCTTATTGCCCTCTAGAATACTCTAAAGTGAGCTCTTGATCTCTACTGTCTCTATTTGCACATTCTAGTATTTATACACAATTTCTTATTGCTGATGAGGACTCTTGAAAAATACTGTTTAGAATTTTTGTATCTTATAATCACATTTTTCTTCCAGATTCAAAATAAACCAGAAAAGAAACCTGCAAAACCACTTCCATCTGCAGCTGTCCTTCCAAGTAGTCCCCAGCCTGTCTCCCCTACTCCTCATGTGAATGATGTTGTGACTACACCGTTGTCCATAAACATTCCACAGTTCTACTTCCCTGAAGGACTCCCAGACACCTGCAGTAACCACGAACAGATCCTAAGCAGAGTTGAAAGTGCTTTCATGGATATTGAAGATCAGAAAGCAGATATTTATGAAATGGGGAAAATTGCAAAGGTAATATAACTACTGAATTAATAATCTCCTTTCGCTAGCAGTGCCAGCATTATTCCTCTTCACTGCCTCTTTGCTCTGACTTTAAGCACAGGTTTTGGTTTTGGTTTTCTTATGATGAAAAATTATTTGATCCTAATACATCTAACAGTGGTCCTACTTCATAGAACTCTTTTTTTTTTTAACCCTGGCTGACCTTGAACTCATTTTGTAGACTAGACTAGCCTTGGAATTTAGCACTTTTCCCAGGCTGTACTTCAAGAGGCTCAAGGTTAGAGTGGCCTGAGAGACACACAGAAGCAGATGGGATGTCAAGGAATTCCTGCGACCCCCATTTATACTTCCATGTGGAAGGAATAATTTAAAATTTGAAAACTAGTATTCTTTGAGATAAAGCCCTAACTTGTCCTCTTTGTATTTCAGTGCCTCCAGAGTCAGGCCCCAGAGATACTTTCTAGACTTTCTAGACTGCCTGATACCTGTTTGCTGCATGAGCCTGGCTCTCTTACCTGCTCACAGGTGTAGATGTAGTATGCTGCCCTACCTCTCCTCTGTGATGGATTTCCACTCCTACCAGCTTATCCAACATCTACTTTAAAGACCTCCCTCTCATCCTTTGCAAAAGTGTACTTTCTAATCATGTCCTGCCCTCTTCCCTAACTGATCCTGCTGAGCACTTGTGTTGCTGTTAAATGGATCCACAAGTAGGGAGATTTTAAAAAACTGAAAAGTAATTTTTCTTCTTCTTTCTTCACCCTCTCCCCATGTCCGAACTTACTTGATAAGATGTTTCTAACACAAATCTCTATTCCAGAAATAAGAGTTTACCTTTCTACACTGTTTTACCTATGAGGAAAGTAGTCCCACAAGAACTTAATAGAAGTCCTAGAATGAGTTCACGTGAGGAAACAATTCCTCTAACTTCTAGCGTGGTGCTGTTTCTATTTACATTATCTCGATGAACATACACCAAATAAGCCAACTGGATAAATAGCCATCTAAATTAGAAGTTCTCTTGGGTTTCCTTACCCTGAGAGATAGCTATTGTGTTAGATGATAGACTGAAGATGGTAAATTCCCTGAATAGGCTAAAGCTACAGATGTAAATATAAAATACAAAATTTAGCAAGAATGAGTGAAATCTGCATTTGGAAGTAATTTGTTAAACTAAAACTAGAGACCAGGGGAAGTATCTATAGAGAAAGGGTTTTGAAGCATTAAAGATGCTAACCAGAAAAATACAAAAAGATGACCAGGGCCTGAGACAGGTTTCAGCAGCTACCACTAGACAGGTTAGAAGCAGTTAGAAAATGTCTACCCAATTAAAGCTAAGAGCATTTTTTATGGTCATTCCAGGAAAGCACCGTGATCTACACTGGCTATAGATTAGAAAGTCAAAGTGCAAAGCAGGGCTAGGTTTGGGGTAGGAGGGTCATCTGCATTAGCTCAGTTAACAGTCAAAAAAGTGTTTAAGCAGGGCTAATTTGTAACACATACACACACACACACACACACACACACACACACACACACGTCTTCATAATTAAATTATTAGAACCGCTCAGATTTTTTTTTATCAGCCATTCATTGCATAAGTGCCAAATGGTTATTTCTTAAGTAGGAACAATGTATAAAAGAGTTAGTTTTCAGAGCTGGAGAGATGGCTCAGAGGTTAAGAGCACTGGCTGCTCTTCCAGAGGTCCTGAGTTCAATTCCCAGCAACCCATGGTGGCTCACAGCCATCTATAAAAAGATCTGGTGCCATCTTCTGACCTGCAGGAAGAACACTGTATACATAATAAATAAATCTTTAAAAAATAAAAAAAAAAGAGTAGTCTTCAAATGGGCAGATAAGGAGAAATTGTCTCTGTTACAGAGCTGGGTTTTATCTTTGTCTAGAGAACTATGGTGGTTTACATGAGATGTTCCCCATAGTCTTAGTCTCCAATTGATGAAGCTGTTTGGAAGGTTTAGAGGTGTGGTCTTGTTGGAGGAAGTATGTCATTGGAGGTGAGCCTCAAGAGTATCAACGCTTGCATCATTTCTAGTTTACTCTCTCTGCTTCCTGCTTGAGGTTCGAGATATACATTCTCCACTTCCTCCCTTAGCCACCATGCCTCCACTCTACCATCATGGATATCATGGACTCTTACTCCTCTGGAACCATAAGCCTAAATAAACTTTTCTGTGAGTTGCCCTGGTCATGATGTTTTATATCACAGCAATAGAAAAGTAAGTAATACAGAAGCCTATCCCAGCAATGAGTACCTCAACCACAGGCCTGCAGCTTATCCTCTCTTGAACAAAGATTCCTGGAATAACTCCGTTCTTTGGAATATTCCCAACCCCTTGACTGAGGAGCCTGCTCGCCATATTCCTCACAGCCTACTGATCTGGCCCTCGTACCCTTGTACTTTATTTAGTAGCAATGTCCTGCTCCATAGCTAACTGCCCTGCTGGCCCTCCACAGATGCAATGAGAGGAAAGTAGAATGCCTTCTGAGCCCATATTATTCAAAAGACATGTAGACAGAGTGTAGTGAAGGCAGGGAAGGAGCCTTTGGTAGTGGGAGCCAAAGGAAGGACTTTACCAGTTAGACAAAGTGAAGATCAGTCCATATGTGGTATCATGGAAAGTTGCCTGTGTTGAAGCCAACACTGAAGAAGTTTTAAAAACAAGAGTATTTTCTTTTCCTAAATATCTAGTTAGCTATTTACTGTTTAAGCTAATAATCGTATGGCACAGTAGCCATTTTACATATATATAACTAGATTAATTTGATGATAGCCCAAAATTTCATCTTTAGAAGCCAAATCTTTTTGTTAATTGCTCTTAGACATTAACTGTCAGCTTAGATAGCAAGATATACTGTTCCTTCTGTTAAAGAGTTAAAACTACAGTTGCATATAAAATGAAGGTGTGTATATATTTTTACTTCAAAAATTATTTTGAGTCAGACATGATAGCACATGCCTGTGATCCAATCATTCAGAAAGTTTGAGTGAGACAATCTTGAGTTCAAATCCAATGTAAGCTGCAAAGCAAAACCTTGTCTCAAAAATGCAAGTTATGATTATGTTAATTTGTTTTGCTTATTTTATTTGTTCATTGGGACAGCTATAGGCCAAGCGGGATTGGATTTATCAACTAATTTTATTAAACTTCGCCTCTTTATTCCTTAATATTTATTTTATTTGTTTGGTGTGTGTGTGTGTGTGTGTGTGTGTGTGTGTGTGTGTGTGTGTGTGTGCGCGCACATGTGAATGTCCACAGAGGCCAGAAAAAGGAGGGCATCAGATCCACTAGAGCTGGAGTTACAGGTGGTTGTAAGCCACCAAATGTGGGTGCTGGGAACCAAACAAATCCTCTGAAAGAGCAGTTTGTTTGTTTAGCCACAGAGCCTACTCTCCAGCCCTGCCTCTTTATTCTTAAAACCACTTATTTGAAAAATTTGTTTGTATCTTCCAGCTACCTAATTTATGTAACCTAGCTTTTACTTGGCTCCAGTTTCTTAGCACTTAACTAAATATTATCTTTATTTCAACACTCTTTACTTAGTGTCTTCTTTTGCCATGAGGCAGTCAACTGTGTGTCTAGCACTTCCTGCCCATTGTCCTGCAGCAGGTTAATGTAGGAGAGGGAGAAGAGAGGCTGCCCTTAAGGAACATGGAGGGAGGAGATTGTAGGAGCAGTAAACAAATGTTTATGGATTCTTGCAGTTTATAAAAACATTTAGAAAACCAGCTTGTATTTGTAACCCACTCTTGGTGGCGCTTAAGTGTAGCTATAAAGACAGGAGTCAGTTTTTTAAGTGCATAGAAAACCATGTTTATGAAATCAGCATCTGTTGGTATAGTTTAGCCTGTTCATCCTAGACCCTCACACAGCCACAGAGAACTTAATGTCCACTAATATCTGATTAAATTTTTAGTGTGTACTTTATAATTTTTTTCACATACCTTCAATTGATGATGGGAAAAAAATGAATAGAAAATAAACCTAACAGCATAGTATAGACATGGAAACTGAGCGACAGGAAGAAAAGCATTTGTCAGAGACAGGGCCTCTAGTGTAAAATTGAAGAAAAGAAGAAAACTCTCATCTGGATCATGCAAAGCCCTCCAGCTCCTTTCTTGGGGGTGGGGAGCAGTATATCACCATCTGGATTAATTGTGTCTGTGACTTATAAGGAGCACCTCTGTACTTACATCTCTCTCCTACAAAGTAGGATAAAAAATAAAAATACCTGCTCTCTTCTGCATGCCAAATCATGTGAACACCCATTGAAATAATAGCCTTGAAACCACTTTAAAATATTGAAAGAACATGACACAGATATTAAATAATCTCCTGTGGGTATCAGAACAACCTTGCTTTAGATTCTTTTTGTTGTTGAGCTGTTCTTAGATTAAATTATAGGTGTTAGTCAAGTTTTCTTTACTCACATGACTTTAATTACCATATTATTACTCTTGCTTCTTCTAAAGCTGTTTCCTAAATGTATTTCCTATATCATTTGTCACTTATTTTCTTCCTTAAACAAATGAGTCTTCACACTGGCTAATTCTCTCCTGTGTTACTTAAAACTCCGGTAGGTTCTCTCATATTTTTGTCACTTTCCAGGTCCTTACTGATCTCTTGGCTCCCTTTACTTTAATTCATTTACTTTCAACAAATGCAGCCAACCATGTGTTTCTTTAAAATAGTCATAGTATAGATCCACAGCCCTGCCGTCATTACATTTCCCATTTTTTCCCTTTGACAGTTGACTTCTAGGGCCTGATACCCTTATGCCACCTAACGCTTGGGTACTCAGGTACTATGAGAAAAGGATGATTTTCATTGTTAAATTTATCTTTGGGGTTTTGCCTCTGAATCATAATGCGTCCCTGTATAATAATGTCTTGGTCACTTATACTATTCCTTGTGAACTGACATACCTGCACTTTAACAGCAGTCATAGGAGAAAAGGTATTTTTTTCTCCCTTCACTTACAGGCAGGACTGTTTCGTGTCTTTCTGCCTCATTTTCAGCTAGTAAATTGTTTTTTTCTAGTCTGTGGGGGTTTTTTTGTTTGTTTGTTTAAAATTCTTTTTCATGCAATATATTTTAATAATATTTTTCCCTCCTCCAACTCCTCCCAGATCCCACCCCCAACTTTGTGTGTGCTTGCGCTCTCTCTCTCTCAAATAAATACCTACACATACACAATGAAAATCAAAACAACCAACCAAAAGACCAATAAGACAAAAAAAAAATGCTAAAAGGAAACAAAAAACTCACCACAAAAACAGTGGAGTTCATTTTGTGTTGGCCAGCTACTCCTGGGTATAGAGCTTGCCGTGGAGTGTGGTGGATATACCCAGTGACATAGGAGAGAACTGATTTTCCCTTTGCCAGCAGGTATCAATGGCAGATAGTTTCTTAGTTAGGGGTGGGACCCTGTGTCTACTTCCCCCTCTCAGTGCTGGGACCACATCTGACTTGAACATGGGTCTTGTGTATGCTGCCACAGTCTCTGTGAGTTCATATGTGCATCAGTCCTGTTGTGTCTAAAGACCCTGTTCCCTCAAAGTCATCCATTACCTCTAGCTCTTAAAATCTTTCTGCTCCCTCCTCTGTATAGATCCCTGAGCCTTGAAAGGAGGACTTTGATGAAGGTATCCCATTTAGAACTGAGTGCTCCAAAGTCTCTCACTCTGCACATTGTCCACTAGTATTAATTCTCATCTACTACAAGAAGCTTCTCTGATGAGGGTTGAGTGATGCACTGATCTGTGGGTATAACATTATGTCATTAGGAATCATTTTATTGGTATGTTCCTTTAGCAGAATAATAGTAGTAGGTTTGAAAGAAAAGATCTTAACCCAAAGAGATGAAAGTTGTTTCGTGATAGAAGTTGCCCTATAAAAGGTGATAAGCATGCATCTCCTGAAGTTGGTGACTCTCCTGATTCTTGACCTCTTCTAATATTGAAAAATTCATGATCGACTCAAATGGCTAGAGTTCCAAACTCTTTCAAGCCACTTCTGTTTTGGCTTCTTTTTTATACTGTTGCTGTAATAAAGTGCTCTGACCAAAAACAATTTGGGGAAGAAAGGGTTTATTTGGCTTAAACTTCCAAGTCATAATTAATTCATCATTGAGACTCTTCAGGGCAGGAATTCAAAGCAAGCACCTAGAGGTAAGAACCATGAAGAATACTACTTGCTGCCTCACTGTCTGGTCAGTGTTCATCTGACTTTCTTATACAATCCAAGATCACTTGCCTAAAGATAGTGCCACCCTTAATAGACTGGGCCCTCCTTTATCAATTAATAATCAAGATAATCCCCCACAGACATGCCCACTGGCCAATATGATTTAAGCAATTCTTTTGTTTGTTTGTTTTTGTTTTTCGAGACAGGTTTCTCTGTGTAGTTTTGGTGCCTGTCCTGGATCTCACTCTATAGACCAGGCTGTCCTCGAACTCACAGAGATCCACCTGGCTCTGCCTCCTGAGTGCTGGGATTAAAGGCATGCACAACCACCACCCGTCCATGATTTAAGCAATTCTCTAATCAAGGCTTTCTTCTCACATGACTTCAGGCTGTGTCAAGTTAACAATTAAACCTAACTAGGAAAACTTACAGTTCTCTCTGTGTTTTGTATCTGTGGCTCTCCCACAGCCAAAATAAAGATGATTCATTTCTCTTTCCCAGCCAATAGCCTGTCACTAAGGCTACCTAGGAGCATTTCCTTAGAATCCATTGTGCGTAAAAAGAGGGACTGGGGTTAGGGAGGGTTGATTTAACAGTTTACCTACCCACCCAAAGTATCTAATTGTGAGCTTTGTACCATAGCAATCATAATTTCTGTAATAGACAAAAATCTCATGGCTGCTAAGCAATACTATTTCTCGTTCTTGACTTCAGTAGAAGCTTTCAGCCTCTGGTTATAAGAAACTCTAGTCTGCAACATGTCACTGAATTTATTGGCAGGATTGAGTCTGTTGATCAGGCTGGCCAGTTAAGTGTCACTGTCCTTACTCACTGTTCAATGTGTGTCTCTCCTGAAGTTTCATTCTCAGTCAATTCCCAGTAAGAAGACTATTCAAGTAGCCGTCGCTTTACTAGAACCACCACACTAGTTCTCAAGAAACCCTAAATTCTGTTCTGCTTGTGGAGTAACTTCATTGTTCCGGGGGCAGCACTTTCTTGTTTCTGCTGTTCTGTTTTTACCTCCCCTGGCTTGAACCCTGCTTTCCACCTCCTCATCTCTAGCATGAACTAGCATCAGTCTAGGAATCTCCCAGATAGACAGTGTCCAACTAGGTATTCTTCAGGCTCCTATGAGAATCTCCTGTGCAGAGTTTCATACCAGGAGGAACTTCCCCTAAACCCAAGGTAGATAGATATGTAGTCTACCTCCAAAGGAAACTCTTCCCTTTGCAGAACAATGATGTACAATGAAAGTATCTTTATCTTTTAACAAGATGTGATGCCTCCTTCACAGAATTCTAGACTGGAAACACGCTTTTCATGTGTGTACAAAAATAGGAAGATTTGGACTCTTTCTCTATTAATATTTATGTGTTATTGATTATTGGAAATACATTTCTCTCTAAGGAAAAATTGATAATTTAGTAAGAACTCTTTCTTACAAAAGTAAATGGATACTATTTAATGATATTTTTAAATTAAAAAGCAGAACATTTTATTAGAAGAAGAAAGGTGGTGCTTTTTAGGGTTTTGAAGTATTATTCTAAGTTCTTACTAAGATTTTTATAATGCATAGTTATTTGTGATAACCTTCTAACATAGAAGTAAATGGTAGCATTTTGTTTCTTACCTTTCATCTTTTACTTGAATTATAATCACTTTAGTAGATTTGATAGCTTTTCTTGCACAGACTAGAATTTTCAGGAGAGGGGACTATCAAATCGTGTGTGTGTGTGTGTGTGTGTGTGTGTGTGTGTGTGTGTGTGTGTGTGTGTGTGTAGCATGCATTTAGGTGCAGGTGCCCTCTGAAGTCAGAGGTGTCAGATAACCTTGGAGCTGGAGTTGTAAAAAGTTGTGAGCCACTTTTACGGGTGCTGGGAGTCTATCTCTGACCCTCTGCTAGAACAGTATGTTTCTTAGCCACTGTGCCATCTCTGCAGTCCCTGTTCTAGTTTAGTTTTTTGTTTGTTTGCTTGTTTTTGTTTTGTAAACCTGTAGTTTCATAACAACATGCAAGGAGAAATAAGGAAGTTAATAGTAAAGTGTTTTAACAGCTAGTGACCTGGTAATAAAAGTGACTCCATTTTCTGTTCAAGAAAGGAAGGACATGGGGGACGGTGGTGGTGCACACCTTTAATCCCAGCACTCAGGAGGTAGAGGCAGGCGGATCTCTGAGTTCGAAGCCAGTCTGGTCTACAGAGTGAGTTCCAGGATAGGCACCAAAAACTACACAGAGAAACCCTGTCTCGAAAATATATATATATATATATATATATGCGTGTGCGTGCGTGCGTGCGTGCATGCGTGTGTGTGTGTGTGTGTGTGTGTGTGTGTGTGTACACAACCAGAAGTTTAATCATTTCTTTCTAGAAGGTAGAAAAATATATTATGTAAGAGTGGCAGGGAGAGATGCTGGTTTTCTTCAGCTACTATTGGGAGGGATAATTAATTTGGAAAAAAAGGTAAATGGCTTTCCACTTTCTTCACTAAACATGTAGCCCTCTATTTGTTCTCCTGTTCTCCCTCCCCTCTCTCTCATTGACCTCAGCAGCCCTTTTATTCACTGTGGCATGACAGATAAAAGCCCATGTCTCTTTTGGCATACCATCCCTTCCCTTCTTTTAGCTTACTCTGTATGTTTTTGTTTGCAGCTCTGTGGCTGTCCACTCTATTGGAAAGCCCCCATGTTCAGGGCTGCAGGAGGAGAGAAGACTGGATTTGTGACAGCACAGTCATTCATTACCATGTGGAAAAAGTAAGTATGTGAGCAGTCATTCTGAGACTAGCAAAGAATTGTGTGGTCCTTAGAAATGGCATGTAGCTAGAGTTTTCCTGCCTGGCCCACAGTCAGGACAGATCTCTCTCACCCGCCAGTCCCACAGCCGCTCAGACCCAACCAAGTAAACACAGAGACTTATATTGGTTACAAACTGTATGGCTGTGGCAGGCTTCTTGCTAACTGTTCTTACAGCTTAAATTAATCCATTTCTATAAATCTCTACCTTGCCACGTGGCTCGCTCGTGGCTTACCAGCATCTTCACATGCTGTTTGTCATCGTGGCAGCTGGCAGTGTCTCTGACTCAGCCTTCTACTTCCCAGCTTTATTCTCCTCCTTATCCCTCCTATACTTCCTGCCTAGCCACTGGCCAATCAGTGATTTATTTACTGACCAATCAGCAACACGCTTGACATACAGACCATCCCACAGCAATGGCATTTCTCATATTAGTTTATTTTCCTTGTATCTTACAGTTCAATAAGGAAAATTCTATCATTCATTACCATTTATACCCACAAGTTCTTTGCCACACACCTTAGTCTTTTTTACCTTTAAATAATGCCAGATTAATTCCTTTAATCTCAGCACTGGGCAGGCAGAGGCAAACAGATCTGTGAGTTTGAAGCCAGCCTTGTCTACATAGCTAGTTCTAAGCTAGCCAGGGCTACCTAGTAAGATCCTATCTCCAAAAAGGTAGAGGGAGAAGGGACTAGAGAGATAGCTCAGCTGTTAAGAGCACTGGCTGCTCCTTTAGATGACCTTGGTTTGATTCCCAGCACCCACATGGTGACTCATAGCAATCTGTATCCCAGTTCCTGGGGATCCAAAGCCCTTTTCTGGCTATCTCAGGCACTAGGCATGCATATGGTACATACAGACAAAAACCCCATACACATAATTTTTTTAATTTATAATTTTGCATCTTTAAACAGTAAAGCAAATTTGCAAAAAATACTTTTTAAGTAACCTCTGATTTGATAGTTTCTTTCTTGGTTTTAACCTCTAAAACTAGAGACTCAGGATTTGAATCCAATAGTGATGATAAAAGTAACTAAAGATTCTCCTTTAAGGGCAGAACTGTGTGTGTCACAAGAAAAACACATCTGCAGGCTGGAGAGGTGGTTCTGTGGGTAAGAATGCGAATATGAGGACTTGAGTTCAAATCCCAGCACCTACATAAAAAGCCAGGCATGGTTGTATGTACTTATAACCCAAACATTGTGCAATACAGGCAGATCCCAAGAGCTCATTGGCTGTTCAGCCTGGCGGAAGCTTAAAGCTTTGGGTTCAGTGACAGACCCTGTTTTAAAGAAATAAAGTGAAGAGGTAAAGACATAGAAAAGTATTGTCCTCTAGCCACCACAGCACACATGCACTTGTACCTGCACATCCCTATGAATGTACCATACACACACACACACACACACACACACACACACACACACACACACCCCCAAAATAAAATTAGAAAATATAGTTACAGTCTCAAATAATCCGATGGAAAATTATATCTGGTTGATTTATCAAAATCACTACATTCTTACAGATTTTAATCATCACTTTTTTGAGAGCTCTAGTTAAGGAGAAAAAGACTAGATTACTTATGAAATATTCTTGACTTTTAACGTTCTGATAAATTATCTCAAATTCAAGCCCAACTTTCCTTTAAATCCCTTCCTTGGATGCTATTAGATATTGTTTTGTTTTATGGCAAGGTATCATGTAGCCCAGGCTAGGCTCACTAGGTAACCAGTAATGACTTAGACCTTCTGACTTTGCTGCTTCCATTTCCCAAATTCTGGGATTATGCGGTGCTGGGGACTAAACCCAAGGCTTTGTGCATGCTAGGCAAACACTGTACCAACAGAGCTATGTTCTAGCCCCTAGGTGATATTCCTTAAATCACTAACATTTAGAGCAGTGATTCTCCTAATGCTTCTCCAACCTTCCTGATGCTTTGACCCTTTAATACAGTTCCTCATGTTGTGGTGACTCCCCAACCATGAAATTATTTCATTGTTACTTCATAACTGTAATTTTGCTACTGTTAAACTTGGAACTGTTAAATCACAGATTGAAAACTACTGATTTAGGAGAAGATCAGGGCCAGTGTCTTAGTTAGGGTTTCTATTGCTGCAATAAAACATCATGACCAAAAAGCAAGTAGGGGAGGAAAGGGTTTATTTGGCTTATACTTCCATATTCCTGTTGATCATTGAAAGAAGTCAGGACATGAATTCAAACAGGGCAGGAACCTGGAGGCAGGAGCTGATGCAGAGACCATGGAGGAGAGCTACTTACTGGTGTGCTTTCCATGGCTTGCTCAGCCTGCTTTCTTATAGAACCCAGGACAACCTCTAGGGGTGGCACTACCACAGCTGGATCTTATGGAGGCATCTTCTCCATTGAGGTTCCCTCCTTTCAGATGACTTCAGTTTGTGTGTCAAGTTGACATAAGACTAGCCAGCACAGCCAGTCTTCCCTTTTAACTGATAACCCTTCTTTATATATGTCCTCACCCTTTCTGGCCTAAATACCCTTCCTGCTAGTAAAATGGAAATGCTATCCACTTACTATTTAAAATATACACATAATATCAGCAGAACTAAACTTAGAGGTTCCTTCTAATCCCTTCATACTACCTGTGGTGGTTTGAAAGAAAATGCCCCCCAAAGGGAGTGGCACTATTGAAAGGTGTGGCCTTACAGGAGTAGGTGTGTTCTTGTTGGCAGAAGTATGTCATTGTGGAGGTGGGTTTTGAGGTCTCATATATGCTAAAGCCACTCCCAGCATCTCAGACCACTTCCTTTTGCCTGTGGGATCAAAATGTAGCTCCTTTGCTACCCTCAACTCCTTCTCCAGGATGTCTGCCTGCATGCCACCGTGATAATAATGGATTAAACCTCTGAAACTGTAAGCCACCCAATTAAATGCTTTAGTTTATAAGAGTTGCCATGGTCTTGGTGTCTCTTCACAACATTAGAACCCTAAGTCATTACCCAAAGGCTCTTAGTTGTGCATTGTTTGAAAACAAAATGAGTGATTAGTAAATGCATTCCTAGTTTTAAAAATCTAACAGTAAATCACATTCTTTATTCATTATATGAGGACTAAAGTGGTAAGGGTGTGTAAGACACTACCAGTTAGTAAACTTCTTTAAAGCACTACACCCAAGCCAGAGGTTACAGTTTCTTCATGTTGTCCCAGTGGGGTTTAGCCATTGTGTTCCTGGAATGATTGAGTTGTCCAGATACCAAGGAATATAAGAGCCCTAGAAGAATCTCCACTATCTGAATGATACTACAAAGTCACTGGCCAACTTCTCCTATCGCAGAAAAAATAGCCTGATAAAATGTAAGGACTATCCTTTTTTAAATGTATATATAAGTAGAGGTAAAAGTAAGAGAAGCTAGAAATAGCATGCAGAAAGAAAAAAGAGGGGGAAAGTACTAATGAGCAAGCCTAAACTAACAGAGGAAAAAAGCATTTGTCCTTAGGTGTTTTTTTATTACTTTTTAAAAATATTTTGAGAATTTCATACACAAATACTATATTTATATCATTCCTATCCCTCCTTTGTGGGAGACCAGCTCCCACTCCCCCATCCCAGGGTACTCTTGAGGAGAGTGAAATGAGAAATACTTAGATAGAAGGGTAAAGGGGAGAGAAACAGATAGAAACACAGGATAGCCTTGGGAGGGCCTGGATCCTTATCCACTGACCCCTTCTGTCTCTTCTAAAGGGCTATTTATAGGAATGCCAAGGGGTGAAGCAAAGACCTTCCCCTAGCTCAGCCAAATGTAGACCCTTCCAGTCACCTAGTAACCATGTACATGGTCAAGCAGTCCTCTAATGCAGCCATGCATTAGAGCTCAGATCTTACTAGGAAACCTTTGTAGGCCTCCACAATTCCACCTTCTAGATATAATAAAGAGCCCCCCAGGCCACTCAGATAGACTGTGCCTGTCTTAGGTCATTCTTCTTGAATAATCTTCTTTACCCATCATGGAGATATACTTTCCATCAAGCATACTCTCGCTTAGGTTGGAAGCTATCAAGATGAAAGTTGCCCAACTTTGACTACCAGCCTCTGGCAGGAGAGGGTACAGAGCTTAATTCAGCTTTGGCCCAGGTCCCTACTGAGAGCTTGCAAACATCCACAGCAATCTCCATAGCTGCCACACCTCCCAATATAGGAGTAGAGGATAATAAAGATGGAATATTCTTTTTGGAATGAGTCTAAGGTGATTATAGCAGTCTCAGCTGCACCAAGCCCTTTTCTAAATCAAAACTCTCTCCTAACAAATGTTCAATAAATTTTAAAGAGACTATTTGGATTTCCAGGAGAAAGCAGTCATTTCAGATCACTTCAAAGTATCCACTCCAGTAAACAAAAACTCATGCTAATTATAAAAACACTTTTAGCTATTTAAGAAGTTCATATATACTTGTGTTCTTACCACACCAGTAGAATTTCTGTACAAACTCACTCGATTGTAGGAGGCCTACTCCCTTCTGAACAGAAACAGAAAGAGTGAAAACTACTAGGAAGAAGACAGAAAAGCTCCCCTTCACTTAAGTTTTACAGGAGTCACTGAGATCGTAAAATAATATTTTGGGCTATCATAAAAAGTGTTCAAATATATCTGAAGATAAAACATATTCCTTTGAAAATTAATTTTACCTAGACATAGATGGAGTAATAAAAACAATTTACACTTACATTCAATATTTACACGTTTTTCAAACGTACACTCAACATTTACACTTTTTACAGACTTATATTCAACATTTACACCTTTTACAAACTTGTATTCAAAAGGAAACTCTTTAGAACTATTTTACAAACTTTACCACATATCTAGAAGAGATTTCTTAACTATTTACCAAACTTATATTCAAAAGGAAGCTCTATAGAACTATTTTACAAACATATTTAAAAGGAAACTATTAGCAACCATCTAGAAGAGATTTC